GTTTGTCCTACATATGTCGCATCACAATCTTTACAAAACAGTTTATAGACCACATTCTTATTGTCAAATTTAGGAAGAACATCCTTATGTACTTTAATAAATCAGACATGAAATTAGCGTTTGTTAGTGACAATAAGTTGAATAAATTTATTAGCGCCGTTCAACGTTGCTTGACTCTCACTAGCCTAATTTAGTCATACTTTTAATTTGTTTAGAAATAATAGATTATGGATTCAATCTCTTATTAATAAGACAAGTATGTAAGTATTATAGTGGTTCTTATTTTATACTTGGTAAAAAATTTTTTTATGTATTTGTTTACCGATCTCCCCAGAACAGTTCCAAATATTTAAAAAATAATCTGTATACAAATTTTTATTGCAATCGGATAAAAAGAACATATGTCAATGAGCACCTTGTAACATAAAATAATTTGACATTTAAGGTGCCTGTTGGCAAGTGTTCTTCTTATCCGCAATAAAAATTTTTATACAGATTAATTTTTTAATATTTGGAACTGTTCTGAGGGAATTGGCAAACAAATACATAAAACATTTTTTTACCAAGTATAAAATAAGAATCACTCTAATAAGTGTATTTCCTAGGTGCTCACATCATTTTGTTTACATGGTAATATTACACGCACTGTTGACTCAGGAAGAACGCAGCATTGCATGTTTTTTTTTTTTTTTTTTTTTTTTTTAAAGTTGAGGAAGTACTTAAACAGCATGAAGTCTTGTCAACGTTTCAATGTTGTTGCTGGTTGAGCTTTCTTCCGCGACTTTCCACGGCGACTGCGAAACCAAGAGTTCTATTTTTTGCTACAGTGTTTTATTAGTTACCTTTTATAAATCTCCTAGAATTTATCTCACCCTTGTTCTAATTAATGTAATGATTCGTTCAACGTATGCCAAAATAATTTTCCTAATGCGCCATTAAGATGCTCAACAATATCAGACAATCTAGTAGCAACTGTAATCCAACTTTCCTGATAATTTGCACGCTTTTATAAATCGCGTGTCATTTATATAAAACGTAAAGGTATAGTCTTAGAAATAATCACGTTACCGTGTTCCACCTCTCATAAATACAATAAACACTGTGTGGAAAAGAGAGTTTCCTTTTCCTATCTCTAATTAACGCCGCTGAATCGCTTTAGCCATTGAGCGTAAATGAATAGACGAGATTATTATCTGTATGTTACACTCGTCGTCGTCCATGAGATTCTTCTGATCGATGTCTGCAGGTGCGAACGCATCGTTACATAATTGTCTAATTAGTGATCATCCCAGTGGGAACGAGTTACATCAAAACTTTCTCGTTTACAGGATTTCGTTCTAGTAATAAACGTAATAAACGCAAAAGAGATAAGTAACAAAATGTTCAATCTAATCACAATAATCGCCCCATAACAAATAACATGAAGTTCAAAATCAAGATATGAAACGTCTCTTAAAGACGTTTTTAAAGATGTAAAGATGTATAATCTCTACACAAAAAGTGATTAGAATTATAAATTTATACTTTACATATAAAACTGAAAAAGTCATATGTATATATATATGAAAGCTTAATAAGGTCATTATATTTAACAATTTTTAATGCTTAAATAAAAATTTTCTTAATTATTCTTAATTTATCTTAATTATTTCTTAAAAACACATTTATTATATTGAAATAATTTTTGATTCAGATTTTAAATCGCCGCCAAATATTTTGTATTATTTGCAAATATAGAAAAGTCTAAATTTTTTTCATAATTTTTTTTTATTTTGCTAAAAAGTACGTGTAATGTATCTTTAAATAAAACATTTTTTTGCAAAAATATCTTTAAGATGTCTTATGGCCCGTTTTTTTTATATGCATATTATAGAGTATAGCAATATTTTTTCCTCAAGAATAGAGAAAATTCTTTTATTCGAAAGACAACACATTATATTGATTCGAGAAATTGAAGTTGACATTTGACATATATGCCTGATACAAATAGAGAAAAGAAATTGAGGTTAAAAAATTAAACGTGTGAATTCTTTCAATAAACATTCTTTTATTAAACATAAAGAGATAAAATGCATGATGTGAATGGTTCAGATAATAAATTAATTAAATATATATTAAGAAGGGCTACGAACCAAGTAAAAACACAAAAATGTAATGCTAAGCAAATATATTAGTAAGCGTTAAACAAATTAAAACAAAAATAAATAGAAATGAATATAAAACAAACGGCGTTTCGATTCTGATCGAGTCATCATCAATGTTAGACGTAAAAACTTTCAATAAATTAATAGTATAAACATATTTGAAATAGCAACGGCCTATAAGTAAAAATTACCAAATAACCAAATAAAAAAGACAGATGAAGCACCAAAGAAGAAGAAAAAGGAAAAGAAAGAAAGTGTATAGAAAATGACTTTTGTGATAAATAACTGTGATTAGTACTCTGTTCGGCAAGAGTTTTGTTTTGTTATTAAAAATTTATTTTATGTTCAAATCTAATAAAAAATGACGATAGACGATAAATAAACAAATAGTTGGTATATAATTATAAGCAATTAAAAAACTTATTTCTTTTGTTTTATTTCATATTCTGCTTAGGTGTTCGTCATTCTCCCACTCTCCTATTCTTTTATATGAATTGCTTCTGAAATAAGTCGTTTATTGAGAACTTTTTTTTCATCTAATATTTGAACCTTATCCCAATTAAAATTATCGTTAAATTCTAGTCTGTTTTGTAATAACTGAGTTCTGATCCATATTTCTATTAATATGGTTGTAGTGTTCCTTAGTCCTCGTTTTTAATAGGCGTTTAGTCTGAACTACGCATGATGCACTGCAATTTTTACAATTTATTTTGTAAATTATGTTGGAACGTAGCAGTGACGGCAATTTTGTCTTTTTGTGCCTTTATAAAGGAACTTAATTTGTTTATGCCCACGTAAACTAGACGTATTGTTTGATTATTCTTAAAAAATCTTCTAAATTTTTCGGCAATCATGGGAACATATGGTATCGTAAAGAATGTGGGATTGTTTGTTAGTATCGACTTATTTTTCTTTTCGCTTGTTTCATTTTTATTGAGCTGTTAGAATTTCACGACTACCCGTTGAAAATTTTTCTCGGAATTTTTCATATAATTTTTCAGAATTTCTATATAATTTTTCAGAATTTCTGATGAAATGTTATAAAATCTAAATAATTTTTTTATATTTTTTAAAAATTATGGGATGAGAAATTTCAGGATATTTCAGAATTCACTTGTATGAAAAATTCTGAGAAGATTTAAACTTTTCGAATTTTTCTGAGTATTTCTGAAAAATGTTCCAATTCGTATAAAAATTATGAGAAAAATTTTCGTCAATAAATAAGAAAAACTTTGTTTCAATCCTGTGTCATAAATTAAAATGGATTCAGGACTTAAAAAATTTTTTTCGATTGGAAAGAATAAGACTCTAATTTTTTTTCAATCTCGTATTATGGACAAAAATGGATTCGAAGCTCTCAGACCTGCATTGGATTGAAAGAATAAGAATTACATCATTTCAATCCTATGTCATGGATTGAAATGATGTAATTCTTATTTTTCTGATTAGAACGAATAACATGGCTTATTTTTTCCACCAAACTTTTTCGATTGAAAAGAATAGAAATTCCGTAGTTTCAATTCTACGACATTGAATTGAAATGGATTCAAACATCGCTTATATTTGAATTGGATTGAAATGGATTCAAAAAATCAAGAATTTTGATTTAGCAATGACTAAATGAATATATTTCAATCTATTTCAATCCTTTTCCGGAAACTGGGATCGTTTTCTTAGAAAATATTGAACCAATTTTTATAAATTTTTTTTAATTTCTTCAAATATGAATAAACTATAATGTTTTGGTTTGTAAAAAAAGTTTTAGCAAAAGGTATAAGTAAGGTAAATATCCTATTTAGGAAAACCCTTTCCAATGACCTTGACCTATATTGTTAAGGTCATGACCCTGAATAACCAACAGATTTTAGCCGTTGCTCGTCGTTAAAAAAAATATTAAGAAGGAAAGTTTGAAAAATGATGTCTATTTTCACTGTATAGAACAAAAATTTCCTGCTTTAAAATACATTTTACAACTGCCCATGCGAAGCGACTCCCACCCCACCTCCCTCCTTGCTTCAAGGTCGTCATCGAAGAGGCCTCTCCTAAAGTGAATAATTACCAAAAGTTTATTTAGAAAGAAGCGATTAAAATGAAGACAATTATTTAAGAAAAAAAAGTTAAAAATAATTTAAACATGTTGATGTTGTGATAAGGAAAGGAACACATCTCAATCAAATTATTTTATAAGGAAGCGAAGAGTTTTTTATATAAATTAAAGCTTTTAATATAGTAT